ATAGTTAATATTAAGTAATTTATAAAGAAAGAAAGTTATCTGACTCATGGTTTTGGAGGCTGGGAAGTCCACGATCGTGACATTGCATCATGACATGATAGAAGGTGTCACACGAGCCAACTCAGGTCTCTCTCCCCCCCCTTTTTAAATTACTTTTTGTCATATTATTGTTGTACTTTGGGTACATTGTGACATTTACAAAGTTCTTACAATATATCTTAGTTGAATTCGCCCCTCCATCACTCTCCTTTACCCCCTTCCCCTATTCCTGGAATAGTTTCCACAGGTCTCGTGTTTCCGTCTTCATACATGATTGCATATATTCCACCATATTCACCTCCTACACCCTTTCCTTATATCCTCCCAACACACACTGGTACCAACCCCCAGACAGGACCTGATTTACCTTCCTGGCCTCTGTTGTTGTCTCTTCTTCTTATAAAGCCACCAACTATTAATCCCAAAAGTCCCACCCTCATGATACCATATAACTCTAATTACCTCCCCAAAGCCCTACTTCCAGGTACTGCAAAAATGAATTTGGGGACTAACACATAAAGCTTGGGGGACACACTCCAACCACAGCAGCTCGCCTGCTATGGGCTATCCCACCTCTCCTGATGGCTGCGGGTCCTGCCTCTGGGCAGTTGCTCCCACAGCCCTACATCCAGGTCTGTCCCTTTTCTCCCAAGCCACAGCTTCCTTGTACAGCCTGGTGGATGCTCAGTGCCCTCCCAACAATGGCTTCCCTTCCTGCCCTAGCGGGACTAATGCTAATGGGAACATTGGGGTCACAGAGCTTAGTCCAGGGCTGGTGGGCTTATATGGCCGCTCTAGCTCTGTAGCACCCTACAATACCATTTCTTCTCTGGCTTTATGGGTACCACAGACAAGCAGGGTCCAGAGGCTGCCTCCCAGTGCCTTCTGCCCCCCAGGCTGGGGATGGCACAGGCTCAGAGTGGCCTCCAAGGAGAAACTCTGCAGTTGACCAAGTTGGGCCCAGGGCCCAGCTTGGAGACTTGGAGATTTGGGGAGTTCCCAGTCGTTCCTCCAGAGGCCAGGCTCTGGTCACTATTGGCCCCAGAAAATCTTAAGAGTTTAGTCCTTGATCTGTGATTTCCAAGTCACCTGGCTTTAGCTAAGTCACTCCATCTCTGAATCTCAGTCTGCTCACCTATAAAATGGTGACCTACCTCACAGGGTGAGGAGTCAATGGGAAAAAGTGGGGATGAGCTGAGCAAAGAGTGGGCTGGTGACACCAGGTGAGATGCCACTGTTTGTGCTGTGATTGTCAAGGTGACCAGTGCCCCAGGCCTATGGCCATCCTGAGCTACAGACAAGCACTGTGATGCTCAGAGAGGCATGCAGCAAACACACAGCCAAGTGTCACACTGACTCTCCTTCCTCAGTGGGAGGATGAAAAGTCCACAAGTCCCTGCCTGGGGTGACACTCATCTGAATGGGAAGAGCACATGAGAGAACAGGGGCCTCAGAGACACGAGCAGACAGAAAGGACCCATTGTACAGACAGAGAGATTAAGGCCCTGAGTGGAAGATGAGTAACCCGGAGTTGGCTGTTGGTCAGTCAGTATATCTCTGTGCCAAGTGGGACAAGGACGGTGTGAATTGTCACCCCCACCCAGGAAGTAGGGAGAAAGGGACAAGCAAAGAAGGAGGCCAGAGACATGACTGGATTCAGTCAAAGCTCAGAAACATTTCTGGGGTGTAGGGAAGCTGAGTGGAGAGCAGAGAGCAGAGGAGAGAGGACAGGAGGTGGAGGAGGGTGAGGAAGAATGAGAAGGAAGGGGACAGTTGGGCTGGACAGGCACACACACAATTCAATGGGCAGCAAGTAACAAAGCTGGACTTTTGCACTTGGGCACTGGGGAGCCCCTGATAGTTGCTGAGCAGGGGAGCAACCAGTGAAGGTGAGGACATTAGCAGGGGTAACCTAGCAGCTGCAGCTGAAGGGCAGGGAGCCAAGCCAGAGACGGCTGCCATGGGAACCGCAGGAAGCATTCCCTCATCCCCCTGCCCTCACACCGACCACTCCCTCACCTGAGCAAACCCCAACCCAAGGGCCACCACGGCTCTGATTCTGTCACCTCAGGCTACTTTTGCCTTTCCCCAGCCTATCGCAGGCATCTACAGCCTTCTGTGTCTGGCTTCTTCCACTCAGCGTCATGTTTCCAAGCTTCATCCACGGTGGCGTGAGCATCAGTATTCGTTCTTGTTTGTTCTGAGTAGTATTCCACTGTATGGATGTACCACAGTCTGCGTAACCACTCACACGTTGGGTTTTGGGTGCTCCTAGTTTTGCTTGGATTTGTTTTGTTGGCTATTACAAATCGAGCTGCTGTACACACTGTGTAGAGGGCTTTGCGTCATGTGCCTAACTTTTTGAGAAGCCACCCAACTGGTTTACAAAGTAGCTACGCCTTTTTGCACCCACAGGGAGGAGCTAGTGTCTGACTTCTCACAGCCTGCTGGCAGCCTTTTCAACTTCGCCTTTCTGGAGCGTGTTTCACACTGTGGCTTAAGTTTGCATTTCCCTGGAGCTGATGAACACCATTTGCATCACTCTTCAGCTCACTGCCTGGACATTGAGCAGGCCTTTGACACCCCAGATGGCCGAAACCAAACTAGGGACCCCAACCGCCTGCTCCCAGCCTGCTCCATCCAGCCTTCCTGGTCAGCCACTGGCACCCCCATCAGGACAGCTGCCGACATCAGGAACCTGAGGCTTCTACCCCTCCCTCATCCTCCCATTCTTCCCTCCCAAGTCAACATCTCTGCATGGGTCAAGTCTCAGCCGTTTCCTGAGCCCCAGGTCTGCCATGTGGTACATGCTTAGAGCCCCAGAGCCTCTCCTAGGGCGCTGGACCCTGACACGATCTGACCTCTTCCTGGGTGATATCCAGTTAGCTGTGGGCCCCTCTAGACCACAGGCCCCAAAGAGGAGCACAGGCCTGTCCTGCTCATGTGGTACCCCTAGCACAGAGCCCAGCACACTTCAGAACAATCTGTGACTTGGTTGAACAGCAGAAGGATGGGATCTGGGGAAGAATTTTGGGAGCCCCTATCCAGACTACTACTGGATGAAATACCCACAGGGGTGGCAGCCCCAGCCACAAGGAGACCAGGGCCCTGGAGTAAACTGAGTCCACCAACCATCTGCCCCCACTTCCTGTCTGCCCTCCTTCCTTCCTTCCCTCTCTGCTGGCACAACTACGGTCAATGCAGTCTGCTTTCTGGAGCCAGTGATTCAGTTTTTCAAGCCTCAGTTTCCCCGACAGTAACATGGGATGATGGTTCGCCCACATCATGGGATTGTTGCAAGACCTGAATAAGAATGCAGATCAAGCTGAGTGCTGGTGGCTCACCTCTGTAATCCTAGCTACTCAGGAGGCAGAGATCAGGAGGATCACAGTTCAAAGCCAGCCCGGACAAATAGTTCCTCAAGACCCAGTTTCAAAAAAAACCCATCACAATAAAGGGCTGGTGGAATGGCTCAAGATGTAGGCCCTGAGTACCGCAAAAAAAGAATGCAGATCAAGTGTTTGGCAGGGGCTGGTGCTCAATAAATGCCAGGTCCTCACCCTGCCCCTTCCGGTCCCTCTCTGTCCAAAACCTCCCTTCCCCCATTCTGCCGTGTTCTGCTGTCCACAGAGGAAACTGGGCTCTACTCTGTCACCCTATCAAGTAACTGCCATTCCTCTGTCTTAAGGAGCCACAAAGGGTGACTCAGGGGAACTTCCAAGCACCAGGGCAAGTCAGCGAGGTTGGAGTGAGATGCTGAAGTATGGTATTCCCCCAGAAGCCCACTGTGATTGTGACACTGTGATAAAAACAAGGCATTCAGGCCTGGTTCCAATCTCAGTTCCTCATGGGTGACCTGGGGCAGGTGACCGCCTCCCTGAGCCTTAGTTTCCCCTTGTGTAAAGTGGACAGTATCCAAGTGCCTCTTTTGAAGGCTGTTCGAGGGGTTCGCAGAGATACTGCGTGTGTGTGGGCTCAGAGATGTTTGCTGAAGGGGTGAAGAGGGTGACATGGGGAAGTCAGGCAAGAGAAAGGACACAGCGATGTGTGGGGGACAGCCCTATCAGAAGTGTTCAGAATCAGTTGTTCAATAAATACGTCACATTAAAACCAAGGCATCCATTTCCTGATTACCTTCCTAAATTGTACTGAGGGTTATTTACATCTATTGATGTCATCTGATGATCCTCCAAGGAGCCAGTTGTCACACACTACCAGCACGCCACTGGGCCTGGACCCCCTCTTGGCTGCATTCCTTCCCATTCTCAAAGCCTGGAGGAAGGGGCTTAGGAGCTGGTGGCGTGCGCCCCCTGGTGGCTGCTTTGAGCACCCATCCTCTGCGACACTGGATTACACTGCACCTTACCAGTAGAGACAGGGGACAGAAACAGAAGTTAGCCCTCTTCCAGCAGAGATGGAAAACCAAAGCTGTGCAGTCATGCAGCATCCTCGGGCCACAGTACTCCGGAAGTCCCCAGGGAAAGATGAGACCCCTGGGGTTCTGCTCAGACGCCCCCAAGTCCTTCGGCCCCTGGATCTGCAACCATGGTTGTCCTTCTCTGCTTTTCCTGATCCAAAGTGGATCAGGAACCTACAGCTGACTTCTCCAGGGTCAGCTGTCCTGGCCCTCCAGGGAGACCCACCTGTCTCCCACCAGCATCACCAAGGGAGGGCAAGCCTCCCTCATTGTACATCAGAAGTCCAGGATGGCTGGGCGCCGGGCTCACGCCTGTAATCCTAGCTACAGCAGGCAGACATCAAGAGGATTGCTGCTCGAAGCCAGCCTGGGCAAATAGTTCACGAAACCCTATCTTGAAAAAAACCCATCACAAAAAAAAAAAAAGGGCTAGTGGAATGGCTCAAATGATGGAGTGCCTGCCTAGCAAGTGTGAAGCCCTGAGATCAAATCCCAGTATCACCAAAAAAAAAAAAAAAAAAAAAAAAGTCCAGGGTGGGTGGCAGGTACCATCATTTCCAGACACATGGGCATTTCCCTGCTCTGTCCCCATGGGCTTCTGCCACCTGCGTGTCCCTTCCTGCCTTTCCCCACAGCTCTCCCTTTCTTGCAATCCCTCTCCCAAACTGCAACCACCAGCTCCCAGTCTCAACCTTTTCGTCTAGCCGAAGACCACACCTGGGGCCAAGGTGGAGGTCCTTCACTCCCAGAGATGCCACTGGGAGAATTCTCTAGAAGAAAAGAAAAGTCTCCCGAGATGAATTCTACCCCTCTCCTAGGGGACAGGACAGTGTGTGTTTGAATCAGCAGTTTCCTTTTCTCTACATGGAAATGACTAGAAGGGACTTGGAGACAGAATGTCGAGAGTGACTCAGGCTCAGCCTCTAACCATGGCCTGCAAAGCCTGGATCTCTGGTCTGTCGTCGTAGGGTGGACGTGTGTTGGGGTGACATAACACATGCACATGGCATGTGTGGCTTAAACAGGGCCCCATCCTGGCTAGGGAGCCTCTCAGGACATGGGCTTTCTGCACTAAAATCACAACACCCTACACTGAAATCAGGGGTTGGGAAACTTACAGTTTGACTGCCACCTGTTTGTAAATAAAGTTTTATTAGAACACAGCCACACCCATTCATTTAGGACTTTTGTCCATGATTTTGAGAACAAAACCATGTTGGGAAGCTGCAACAGAGAACAGAAACGATGTACTGTAAGTATTTACTATCCAGCCCTCTAAGGAAAAACTTGTCCTCAGGAGGTGGAGATCAGTAGGATCTCCACCCAGAGACAGGGCCACAGTGGACAGTGAGAGAGAGCAGGATGGGGTCACTTTGTCACTAAATGGAAGCTCACTGGTCCACACAGTCCCAAAAAGTGGTCTCCTCTTCCAAACAGTCACAGGAGGAGGCCTGGCTCCGTCCAGGAAAACGCAAGCTCCCCCGACAGGGAGGTGGAGGGGCAGAAGAACCCAGCCTTGGGAATCCACTGCTCTTCTGCTCGTTCCCCAAGGACCCCTTCCTACTTGGTGACCATGGCAATGGGGCGGATGGGCAGGAGGAGGGACTCGGTCTTCCTTGGGTACATGGAGATGAGACTCCAGTGGCCTGGCAGAAGGAGGACAGCAGCTGGAGGCGTTAGAGGGGCCAGAGCAGATGACTGAGGGAGGGGACAAGGGTCTGTCCAGGCAACATGGCCACCTGCCATTGTCCTTGGCCTGGAGACTGCTGGGCTCCAAGAGGCAGGAGTGGTAAGGAGGAGGTGGGCCCGCTGGTCAGTCCTACATGGTCTCAGGACCTTGGTTGTTTGTGGCCCTGTTGGGGACAGCCAAGATCTCTTCCCTAAAGATGCCTGTCCCCAGAGGTCACCCAGGAAGCCCAGACCTGTGGCCTTCCAGACCTATGGGTGGGCTGCAGAGAGCAGGGGAGCTACGGGAGGAAGCTGTGCAGGGTGAGGTCATCCCCGTCTCGGTCCTCGCTGGCCTCTGCCTTCAGGCCCTGCCTCTTGGGTGGGCCTCCATTTGCTGTGCTGGGGAACCCCTCGCCCCCATCCGGCAGCAAGGACGAGATGCAGACCATCTCGGTGGGGGAGTAATTGCGCACAGGGTACATGTGGTTCCTGTGGGACAGGCGGATTGCCAGCACTACGGTGCACACGAGGAAGACTGTGGCCACCACTGCCAGGATGAGGATGGCCAAAAGACACTGCCTCACGGGGACACGGTCTGAGGCCTCTGTGGGGCCGGGGCTCGTGGAGCTAGCAAGGGTGACAACCTGCCTGTTCCTGCTCGTGTCAGGCAAGTTGCCAGCTGCCACTGTGGTGTTCTGGTGAATGACAACAGGCACAAGAAAGGTGACAGTGATAGGTTCTGTGGAAGGGGACTTGGTGGGGACTGGCTCCATGGACAGGGCCGTGGTGGCAGTGGGTTCTGTGGAAGGGCCTTTGGTGGCAGCCAGCGCTGTGAACAGAGCCTGCGTGAGCCTGGTTCTGGGCAAGGCCTCCGTGGCTGCTAGAGGAGTGGTCTCTGCTGTTGTGGCTGACAGTTGGGTGGTCTCTGTCACCAAGGTTGATGGCTGGGTGGCCTCTATCGTTGTGGCTGATGGCTGAGTAGTCTCTGTCACCAAGACTGATGGTTGGGTGGTCTCTGCCGCCATGGCTACCGCTTGTATACACTTGGTGGCTACTGGCCCCGTGGACAGGCCTCTCTGGTGGTTGCCTCCATGGAAGGAGCCCACTCTGTAGATACAGCCTCCATTGTAAAAGCAATTCCAGAAGTCACTTCTGTGGTCAGGTCCACTGAGACTGGTGTCCACTGTGTGGCCAATTCTGTGCTCCACTGTGCCTCTCCTGTATCCAGGCCAGCAGTGCTGCTGGGGACAGCCTCCACCGTGGCTGCCTCAGAGGGCCCGGGACCTGCAACCCTTTGCTCCAACACAGCCATCGTGCTCAGGGCTTCACCGTCTGTAGACACAAACCTCATGTAATTTTCAAGCATTTCTGGAGGGTCTGTGACTTCTGGGAAATAGTCTTCATCAAAGTCCTCATCTGTGGTCGCCTGTCTCCGTCCCCGTAGAAGCGCTGGGGCTGGGGCCTCCTGGGATCCATCCTTCAAGCTGTCCCACAGCTGGAGGCTGCTGCCAGGGCCCAGTAGAGTCAGCAGCAGGAGGAGGTGTGAAGGCATGGTACCTGGGTAGACAGGACATAAGAACAGCGTCACACCTGGGCTCACCGAGAACCTCACCTGCAACCCTGGCCTGGTCTGGCTTCAGCCGTTCCTGCAACCCAACACACGCCTGGGAAAGGGTGAAGCCCTCCACAGGCAGCAGCTGTTTTACCACCATGGATTAAGTCACTTCCTTTATGTGGTGCACAGAACCCCAATCATATTTGGTTAATATTTTTTATTTTTGCCATGCATCCTGGTGCACACCTGTGATCCCAGCACTGTGGAAAGAGGATTGACAGTTTCAGGCCAGCCTGGGCTACATAGTAAGACCCTGTCTCAAAAAAGAAGAAAGGAGAGAAGAGAGAAAAAGAAAAAGAGCCAGGCGCTAGTGACTCACACCTGTAATCCTAGCTACTAGGGAGGCTGAGATCAGGAGGATCGTGGTTTGAAGCCAGCCCAGGTAAAGTTCACGAGACCCTGTCTCGAATAAACCCATCATAAGAAAGGGCTGGCAGAGTGGCTCAAGTGGCAGAACACCTGCCCAACAAGCATGAGTCCCTGAGTTCAAAACCCCGGTGCTGCCAAAGAAGGAGACTTTTTATTTGGGGACAAAACAACCCAATGGGGCACAGAAGGTCTTTTTCTGGGGTTTGAACTCAGGGCCTTGCATTTGCTAGGCAGGCGCTCTATCACTCCCAGCCCTTTTTGCTTTTATTTTTCAGATGAGGTCTTGCATTTTTGTGTGGGATCAGCCTCAAACCTCAATCCTCCTACCTATACCTCCCATGTATCTGGAATTATAGACACACGTCCCTATGCCTGACTTATTTGTTGAGATGGAGTCTCCTTAACTTTTTGCCCAGTCTGGCCTTGAACCACGATCCTCCAGATGTCCACCTCCAAGTAGCTGGGATTACAGGTGTGAGCCACCACACCTGGCTAAAGAAACTCTTAAAGCCTCTAATTGTATTGACTTTTCATGTCATCCCTTCTTAACATCAGCTTTTCTAGATATTAATTGAATATCAGAAAGTACGATAGTAGCTGCATACAGTTCATAAAGACATCAGCAGACATTGCATAAACAGCTCAGTTACCCACCGACCGTAGAGAAGTCTGGGAAACAGGTCTACAGGGCTCTGAGTTTTCTGGAGTCTGGTCCATACCCCTCCCCCTCAGCCTCCAAATCTCTCTGTCCCCTTCCCCACCCCTCACAGCCCTGGCCAGTCATCAGGGTCTCTGATCTGTTCTGTCCCTTTGGCTGTGTTCTTGTCTGGACGATGCAGACCCACCCTTAGGGTGAATGAGGTGATGCGTCCAGAGCTCGGGGCCCTCTCTTCACATGGCAGGCTGCTAGCAGAGCTCTGTGGATTCCATTCTTTGAGTCATCCTCCCCTATAAGCCCTTAAGGGCTCAGAGCTATTTACTGAACTTTCTAGGACAGTAAGGAAAGCTATATTTTTTTAAGAAGAGCCCTGTCCTAGGAAACTTGTGGTCATCAGACTTGTCTGTTTGATGCTGAGGGTCCACGCCGTCCTCCTACCAGGGAACCAGAAGGACAGCGCCTGTCCTTGAGATCATCTCATTGGTCTTTCTTGTTGGCATTGCAATTTTTCTGGGGGAGAAACAGAACCGGGATTTGAACTCAGGGTCTCACGCTTTCTAGGCAGGTGCTCTACCACTTGAGCTACTCCACCAGTCCTTTTTTTGTGTTGGCTATTTTTGAGATAGAGTCTCACTTTCATTTTGCCCAGGCAGGCCTTGAACCACGATCCTCCTGATCTCTGCTTCCTGAGTAGCTGGGATTATAGGTGTGAGCCACCTGCACCTGGCCACACCTGTACTTTTTGATTCTCTGTGTCTCTTCCCTTACTCTCCCCCTGGCACTGGTTGGTGTTTATAGACTTCAGAATCCTGCTCTTAAGAACCCCATGATGAGGGCAGCTGGGTTCTAGGGCAGGGTTCAGGTACTTCTTGACTCCCTGACATGACCCCTTCCGCAGCACACAACCCCTACGACAGTGTCTGGCACAGAGGACAGCAAGCACTAGATAACTTCCAGTACTGTCCCTTGACCCCATCATTCCTGGGGTGACTATAACTTACTCACGAGCCCCTCTCCTTCTAGGCTAATCTGACCTCTTTCACGTGTTAGTTAGAATTGTACTGAGTTTCTAAAATGCAAATATGATCCCTCTTAAAACAATTTCTGAAGGCAGGTATGGTGGCTCACACCTGTAATCCTAGCTATTTGGGAGGCTGAGACCAGGAAGATTGTGGTTTGAGGCCAGCCCAGGCAAAAAAGTTCATGAGACTCCATCTCAACCAATAACTGGACATGGTGGTGCATGTCTGTCATCCCAGATACAGCAGGCAGCTTGAATAGGTCCACGCTGGCCCAGGCAAAAAGCGAGACCCTATCTCAAAAAATAACCAGTGCTGAAAGGACTGGCAGGGTGGCTCAAGTGGTAGAGTACCTGCTTAGCAACTGCAAGGACCTCAGTTCAAAGCCCAATATTGAAAAAAAAAAAAAAGAAGAAGAAGAATTTCTGAAGCCAAACAATGATCTCATTTTATAGAGACGGAAACTGAAGCTTAGAAAGACGAAGTCACTTGCCCAAAGACACACAGCCAGGGAGTGGTCAACCTCTGAGTGCTGTGAGGATCTGGGAGGCTGGAGAGACCTGGCCTAGCAGAGGGGCAAAGGCAGCAAAGGAGTCTGGGAAGAGGGCTGGGGCTGCTGTTGGGGCCCGGGAGGGGAGAGCAGAGTAAGAAAAAGGAGCTTTGGAGGGATGGCTCAAGCAGCAAAGGGCCTGCTTGGCAAGTGTGAAGCCCTGAGTTCAAACCCCAGTCCCACCAAAAAGAAGAAACAGGAGGAGGACAATCAGGAGAAGAAGGAACCAGCACCACAGCCATCAGGCGCCATCCATGCATAAGTTTGAAAGCACAGACTGTGGGGTCCCAGCTCTGTTTCTTACAAGCTGGGTGGCCTTGAGACGGATCCTTGCCTCTCTGAGCTCCAGTTTTCCCTTCTGTAAGGGAACAACTAACAGTGCTTTTCTCATATGATGTTGAAAGTATGCAATGAGTGAGGAGATGAATTCAAAAGATCTGGGCTCCAACGTGCATGATAGCATACGTCTATAATCCCAGCTACTCGGGAGGTGGAGCTCTGGAGCATCGCATCGAGGCTGATCTGGGCAAAAAAACCGAGACTCTCTATGAAAAATAACTAGAGCAAAAAGGGCTTTAGTGGTGGAGAGCCTGCTTAGCAAACATAAGGCCATGAGTTCAATCCCCATTATCACCATAAAAAAAAAAAAGAAGGCTCACAGTAGGTGCTTACTAAAATCGTGGCACGCACGCAGAGACACTGCCTCCACATCTTGGGCTGCCCCAGAGTGGCAGAGTTCCTCCGTGGGGAAGAGAACACCGCGTAACCTTGCCGCTTTCCTGGGGGGAGGGGACTGCAGGAAGAAGCCACCAGCTCAGAGACACAGTCATGGTGTTATGAAGCCACCCACCCCCACCGCCCCCACTTGGGCAGCTCGGGTTCCTGGAAGGCAGAACCACTTCCTGGAAGAGAGGGCCGGGCAAAAACATAAGTTCCCACCCTCTGGTTCCTGGGGTGGGGGCACCTGGGAGAGGCAGGGCCCCACTTCCTGAAGGCGGGGAGAGGCAGGGGCCAGTGTGTTCCTAGGGCTTCCTCTGCTGCCCTGTGCCACTGCCCACCATGCCCTGGGTGAAAGCCCACCTCCGGTAGAGAAGGGACTGGGGCTCCCACAAGCCACTGTGTGACCTGAGCTCCCTCTCTGAGCCTGGGTCTCCTCATCTGTCAAATGGCCCATATGGCTTTAGAGAGTGGACGGGACACTTCGGTGGGGTGCTGTAGGGAAGGCCCCAGGTGCTGGATTGGGGATATTTTATCTGGGGATCCTCTTTTGGGCAGAAGCCTCAGACTCACAGAAGGCCCGTTCTCTTCTCTGCTGAGATGACCTGTGACCTGGTGTCCTGTGGTGCCAGTCACTGGGAGGCTGAGGCAGAATCGCTTGGGACTGGGAGTTCAAGGCAACACAGTAAGACGCTATGTCAATAAAATAATAAAATAACCTCAGTTTTTGCAGTACTGGAATTTGAACTCAGGGCCTCATGCCTGCTAGGCAGGTGCTCTACCACTTGAGCCACTCTACGAGCCCTTTTTGAACTATTTGCCCAGGGCTGGGTTCGAACCACGATCCTCCTTATCTCTGCCTCCTGAATAGCTAGGACTAAGGGTGTGAGTGTGTGGCTTAAAATAACCTCTTAAAAAGCAAAAAGATGTGGCCCACTGAGTCAGCCCAACTCTTCCCGTCTGGCCTGTCCCTGTCTAAAGTGACCAATTTGCCCAGGAAGTCCTCCGTCCTCAGATCAACCAGGACAGCTGGTCACCCCGTCAAGAGAAGGGACTTACACACTGCAGCTGGCATTAGCCCGTTACACAGGAAGGAAACCTGCACTCCCACAGATGTCGCGCCTCTGTGGCGGCCACAGGGTAGACAGGAGGGAGCAGAGATGATGCTGCGTGTGGTGGGTAACAGGCTGACTCTGCCATATTTTCTGAAATCAATGTATTTCCTATAAGAAAAGCAACTTACGATGAAGCCCTGCTGGAGTGGATCAGTCCTCTCTCCTCGTCTGGTGACTTTATTCATCTTCACACCCAGGGAGCCCCAGCTGCCAGGATCCCCATTTCATAGCTCAGCTAGGCAAGGCTCCACCCTCCACCTCTCCTCGCCCCAGATGGCAGGGGAGGGGGCCCGGCACCATGGGGGTCGAACACACATCCGATTGGCCTCTCAGAGTAGATCAGAGGCTGTTTCCTGCCTTTCACCCTAAAGCCAGCTGCTCCAGCCCCATGTCCCTCCTGGGCTGTGCCTCAGGAAGAAACCCAGGGGACTCCGAAAATCTTCAACCCTCTTGTAATCTTAGAATTCAAAGCTTCTTGGGTTGGGTTTGGGTTATGTGGCCACCAAGAGAAGCAAGTCCCAGATCAACAACTCAGAAGGACTGAGGTGCGGGAGCCCCCAGACTCCACTGCAGCTGTAAGTCCTGGGGACAGACAGCCCCTGCCCTGACCTAGGGGGTCACATCAAACCAGTTCAGTCCCAGCTCTATCCCCGATAAGCTGTGTGACCTTGGGTAACTCAGTTTACCTCTCTTAGCCATGGGTTCCCATCTGCAGATACTCCTCGGTTAACAATGGGGTCTTGCCCCCATAAAGCCATGATAAATTGAATAGGATAAATAGAAAATGCATCAAATGCACACAAACCACCAAACACCTGGCCTAGCCTGGCCCCTTACACGGCTCTGAAAACTTGCATTAGCCTAATCACCCAACCCCAAGCCTATTTTATAATAAAGTCCACAGCCCAGGGAAGATGAAAACTCAAAATCTGAAATACGGGGATCACTTTCAACATGTGGGTGAAAAGTCACAAGTCATTGCCCTGCTCCTCGGGGTTGTGTGTGACAGCCCAGGTGGAATGTTTGCACACAGCAAGTGCTCAATAAAAGTCAGATGGTGCCATTCTGCACTGACGACAAGGGACTCCCTGCTCACCACTGCCAGACCCTGGAGAAGTCTCCCACCTTGGCACTGCCTTGCTATGCCTTGGATCTCTTTATCAGAGAGGCCAGGCAGAGGCAGGGAGCCCCAGAACCAGTCCCCACGTCACACCCTGGGCGCCACCCCCAGCCTCAGCCTCCTGTGGTTTTATGAATTGAGTGTGGACAACATACCAGACACTGTTCCAAGACCTGCACATGAATCATTAGCTCACTTGGGTCCCCTAATCCCATAGAACGATGGGGACCGTTATTACCCTATGTGAAAGATGGAGAAACTGAGGCCCACTTAGCACCTAGAGTTACACAGCCAGGAAGACAGGAGGCAGGGATTTGTACCTAAGCGATCTCCCTCCAGAGCTCACCTCAGCCACAACCCCACATCATCTGTGAACAGGGCCAAATCTATACCACTTCCTCCTGGAAGCCATCCTGGATTGTGCAGGTACAGTTCATCAACCTCCATTGTTTAAAACTTTTCTGGTGTTTTCTTTCAGAAAACCCATTCCCATTAGTCCTAGTGAACAGCACCACAGCTGTCTTGCTGATCCTGCCTCCTGCCCAGGACTTAGCCAATGGCTGGGCGGCGTCTTTGTACACACACCTCTGGGACACTTGTCCCACTGGATCACAGGCACTGTGACTATCTGTGCCACAAGCTTGTGGAGAGCAGGTACTATACGAGGTCCTCAGCAAAACAGGCCTAGAATCCTTAGGGCTCACTCAGGGCCTGTCACTGAGACAGGGTGACCAGCACAGAATTGCACAGCTACAAGCCGTCTGCTGGCTGTCCCCACCTCTTATCACCACCCACCCCCTTCGTCCCCCACCCCTACCCATGACCATTTAACACCACAGATAACTGTGGATATGCTTAGTAACCTGTGTCCCTTTGCAAGGTCACAAACCATAGCTGGGTGAGTTTGGGGGCCCCTTTTCCCCAGGAACCAAGTCTCATTTGTCCAAACCCTGGTGCTGGCCTGGTGCAAAGAGGTGCAGTATTTTGCACAAATGTCAGCCTGAAGATGCCTGTGTAGACAGACAGATGGAAAAGGGCAGGCCAGCTGCACAACGTCCATCCCTATCCTCTTCCCCCTACAATGCAGGCAAGGGAACTGAGCACCAGGCCTTGCCACCAGGCCTTGCCACCAGGCCTAGGAGGCTTCTGCAGCCAGGGGGGCTGTGCCAAGTTCCAACTTGGCCCCTTCCTGGCCATGGGAGCCTCGTTTTTCTCATCTGTCAAAGGGGGTGCCCTTCCATGACTCCTCAACCCCTCCAAAGGCCCTGTCCCCACCCAGCCCAGGTGCCCAGGGGCTTGGCCCACAGCCCTGCATCTCCCCTGGTGCTCTGGAGGTTCAGCTTCCTGACTGTGGGCCAGACCTGAAAAGGCTGCGTCATCCATGTTGGGAGGGGGGAGTCCCATCCTGAGCCCCCAGCCCACCGGGAGGCTCACCCTGGGGCTCCAAGTCAGAGATGGGAAAGGAGGCCATAGGGGTCCAGGAAGGAAGAGGATTCCAGACAAGGGGGAGCCCTGCTGTTGTCTATGGGAGAAGGGCTGGGGCGTGGCCGGATCTAGCGTGAAAGCAGATCTGGGTTCCTTCCCCAACACTGCAGAAACAAACAAAATCTGATTACTGGGGGTGTATAGGGCTGCTGCTTGGGCTCTCAGCCCCTATTATTCTCCAGAATGTATCCCAAGTACAAATTATTTTTACTATTTTTGCATTTGCTAACAATAGTAACCTAAATCTAATATTCTAATACTTTGCCATGAGCAAATGCTGTTTTCCCAAGCTGATAAGAAATGTTGATGAATGTCGGGTATAGCAGTACATATGTATAATCCCAGCACTCAGGAGACTGAGCTGTAGGAGGATCGCTTTTTCCCTTTTTTTTTTTTCGGAGGTACTGGGCTTTGAGCTCAAGGCCTCGTGCTTGCGAGGTAGGTGCTCTACCACTTGAGCCAGTCTGCCAGGAGAATCTCAAGGTCAAGGCCAACCTGGGCTACACAGTGAGGCCCTGTCTCAAAAATAAAAACAGACTATGTCAAAGCACAATATTTTCAGGGCTTCGTAATACATGCACCTTCAAGACAAACCCTGCACCTTCAAGACAAACCCTGCACCCTCCTCCTTTCTGGAATCTTCCAGACCTAATCTCAGCTGAGCCCCTAAGTGAATCTCTTCGCCTGTCTGGGCTGGAGTTTCCCACCCACGCAAGGAAGGGGTGGTCTCATTCCTAGGAGAGACCCCTGATTTCTCTTGTCTTAAATCCGGAATGCCCCAAGGCAGCAGCTGTAGGCCGCAAACAGGGAAGGCGGGTTAGAAGTGACACAGGAGAAGTGACACAGAAGAGACCGGATGGGCCACAGGCTCCAGGAAGACCTTGTCAGGAGCAGCAGCAGAGCTTTACGTTGCCTCCCGGGGCCACAGCTCAGGGAGTCCCAGAGCTCCTGCCCCAGGCTTGCCACCAGCTGTAGTCCAGGCCCTGGTCCCTTGGGTCCCCCAGCCACACCCTGTGGTTTTCAGCCCAACACTTACCGTGCTCAGCAGAGCATGGGCAGCTACCTCGTGGGCCCAGAAGTGACTGTCTGCTTCAGTGACAAAGTCCCAGCCCACACTGCCGGGCACTGAGTGGCACCCCTTGCCGTGGTCCCAGATCTGCCAACTCCCAACGGCAGTGTATGGAAGAAGGAAGCGAGAATGTGGTTACTCAGGCTGGCCACGTGACAGCCCACACCTCCTTGTTTGTCACAGCTTTGGTGACAAGCGTTGACCGAGATTGGGTGGGCAGTGAGACAGTGACGACCAAAAACCATTAGAAACTTTCTGGGCAGGGCCCTTTGGTTGGAGATGGGACCCACCCTGAGGAAGGCCACAATATTACTCCATGGATGATGTAGACTGGGTGACCTTGAAAGGTTTCAACCAGGTGAAAATATAGGGTATGGGGAGTAGAAAACACAAAAGAAAGAGCTTCATGGGGCTCACTAACAGGATGCCTTTCCTCTTTTAAGATTCAAATATTCTCTCTGAATGCACGAAGGTCCTTTAAGCATCAATCCAGAAGCTCCCTGGGCAGCCGGGCACAGTGGATTACACCTGTAATCCCAGCTACCTGGGAGGCGGAGATTGGGAGGATAGACATTTAAGGCCAACCTGGGGATGGAGGGGGGGAGTTCTGGAGACCCCATCTTAACCAATAAGCTGAGCATGGTAGTATGCATCTGCCATCCCAGCTATGAGGAAAGGCCAGCCCCAGGCAAAAATGTGAGACCTTATCTGAAAAACAACTAAAGTAAAAACAGGGCTGAAGGTGCAGCTTAAGTGGTAGAACAAGGGCGAGGCCCAGAGTTAAAACCCCAGCAGCCACCTGTGGCACCTCAGGCTGATCCACGGAGGTCAAAGGCCCTCCTGGGACTCATGCCCTCCTGGGAGCAAGTAAACAAGTCAACAGGCCATTACGACACACAGTGCGGTAAGAGTGTCACCCTGGGGTGAGCAGGGAGGGGGCAGGCGAGGGCGGTTGTTAGGAGAATCTGCCATGCAGAAGTGACCCTTCAAGTGGCAAGTAGCAAGGAACTGGGTGGGCAGCTCAGGCTGAGAGCACAGCATGGGCAAAGGGGGGCCTGAGAATGCATGGAACGGGTCTGGAAGGGAAGGAATGGGTCCCCGGTGTGTTCCATGGCTTCTCACAAGGCCAGGGCTAAGGATGTCCACAAGGACAAAGTCCTACCCTGCCTTGCACACAGGTTAGGTTTTTTTGTTTGTCTGTTGGCAGTACCAGGATTTGAACTCAAGGCTTCCACTTGCTAGGCAGGCACTCTTCTACTTGAGTCATGCCCTCAGCCCTTTTTGATTTTTATTTTGTTTTTCAGCTAGGATCTTGAATTTGCCCAAAGCCAATCTTGGACTGTGTTCTTCCTGATCTCTGACTTGTAACTGGCTGGGATTACAGGAGTGAACCACCATCCTGGAGTACACAGGTTGTTCTAAAATGAAACCAAGACCCAGCAGGTGTTTGTTGTGACAGCATCTCAACCCCCTAGGAAGCCACAACTGAAAGAGGCCAAAAACAGACAGCGAAACTGAGACTGAGGGGCCAGGCTTCCCGCTTTTTCCCAGATGGTTTGGAAATTGCCAGCCCCTGGAAGTAGGGGGCTGAACACCCAGAACAGACCCATGGGGGAGCTGGAGGTCACACATCGCTCAGCAGGGAGGTGAGGGTCATGAGTTGCCTGTCACCCAGCTGCCATCTGGCTTTGTGCAGCTTGCAAGCTTTGGCAAGTGTGTTGTGACATGGGAACATCTTGTTTAGTTTTGCTAGAGTTCTATCACGAATTGTCATGGCTTTTTCACACCACAAGGGCAGAATGGAATAGTCACCTCACTCGTGTCACCTTTGCACCTCTCAGCCCTTAGATCTTCAGAGCAGTCGTTGGAGAGGAGGAAACTGAGGCTGAGGGAAAGGGCGTACCTCACTCAAATTCAGTAAGCAGGCAGGGTAAAGCTGTTGATTTTCACCTCCAGTGGCAGGCTGCCTGGAAAGTGACAGTGACAAGTGTCTGCACATCTGCAGGCTACTGGAGATGGGACCCAGGGTCTTGTGCCTGCTAGGCAGGGGCTCGCCCACTGCGCCCACCCCAGCCCTAAGCTCTTTGCGCCTGGCCGAGAGCGTCCCCTAGCTGCAGGGAAGGCCTTGGCTTTGTAGAGGAGCACACACCGCCTGGAGGATTCTGAGTGCGGACGGTGAAACCCCATCTCCACTGCCCGACACCTGGGAGAGTTCTGCTTCTAGGACTGGAATCCAAAGAAAGGCGCCACACCTCTTGCCACTTGAGCCACTCCGCCAGTCTTTTTTTGAAATGGGTTTTTTGTGGGTTTTTTCTGAGATAGGGTTTTTCTTAAACTATTTACCCAGGGCTGGATTCGAACCACCATCCTCCAGATCCTGCCTCTCAAGTCTCTAGGATTATAGGTGTGAGCCACTGGTACCCAGCTCAGATGTTTTCTTTGCTTTCCTCTGTGCCTGTCCTCTTCAAGTGGCCCCTGTGTTCCCTTGGTTGAGCTCCTGAACCTATTCTGGTTTAGAGTGGCTGTTTTATTATAGTTCAGCTCACCTTTTCTTTTTTTTTCCTGGTGGTAGTGAAGTTTGAACTCAGGGCCGCAAGCTTGCTGGGCAAATGCTCTACCACTTGAGCCACATCCCCAGTCCTATTGCTTTCAGTTTGTTTTCAGATAGGACCTGAGCCTCAAATCCTCAACTGCCTATTTCTACCTCCCAAGTGGCTAGGATCACAGCACATACCACCATACCTGGCCCCTTAATTACCTTTTAACGCATCTGTGAGACTCAGGAATTCAAAGTGATTAGTTTTCTTTTTAGGAATGGAGCCCAGAAAAAGCTCCAAAATGCCTTTAAAAATCGAAGCAATTGCAGGAGGGTGAATGTGGTGGAAATATTACGTACTCATTTACGTAAGTGGAAAAATGAGACCTAGTGAAACTATTCCAGCAATGGGGGGAGGATAAAGGAGAATGATGGAGGGGGTGAATTTAACTAAGAACTTTTGTAAATGTCACAATGTACCCCCAGTAAGAAAAACAATTGAAGTAACGGTGTTTAACATAAAAGGAATATTGGGGTGGGCTGGCAGAGTGGCTCAAGTGATAGAACACCCGTCTACCAAGTAGGAGAGCCCCGAGTTCAAGTGCCAGTACTGTCAAAAAGGAAAGAAATATTGGGACAAAACATCAAAGTTGTGTACTAAGGAAAAGTGTCCCTGGTGGAATATGGTACAGACACTAACGTGTTCACATTAAGTGCTTACAAAGCACCCGCCACGTGGTATGTGAAAAAGTCAAATATAAAAGTGTGGAAATGTCAACCGTGTAGGTGCTTAGGGGGACAGGGAGAAATAAACTCACGTGTTGATCTCTGAGTGGCACATTATGGGTGACCCCTTCCCTTTGAACAAACTCACCTTTCCCATGTTTTTATATAGGAATGTGCACGAAACGATGCTCACCTTATAATCCGGAGACACTTTAAAGGGGTAAGCAGGACTTTAGGGACACCCTAGGTATCGTCAACATGGCTGGACTTGCAGCTTTTGCCTCCCTTTTTCTGGAACCCATGAAGGACAGTTCACCTCACACCCCAACCCTGTGTTTCTGGGGTCTGCCAACCATGGCTCTTTCCCAGTACCCCTCAGCAATGGGGCCAGTGCTCACTGCCCAGATGCTCCTCGGTGTCATCACCATGGAAGATTCTCGGAAGGTAGCAGCCTGTTCAGATATCACAGACGAAACTCACTCACCACCTAGAACAGGCACCAGGGAGCTTTTTCTTATACAGGGCGAGAAAATAAATCTTTCCTGCTTTGTGATCTGTCCCAGCTACTCAGATCTGTTGTTAAAGCAGCTGTAGTCAGTATGTACGTGAATGGGGAGGCTGTGTTCCAATAAAACTTTACAAAAAAAAAAATGGATGGAGGGTCAGATTTGGCTCAGTTTGCTGACCTAGAGAAATGGCCCACTTGGCCTCTCAGATGGCAGAATGAACGATTATTTATGGGCCCATTTATTGTGCCAGGTGTTGGCATGAGCCCACAGACAGGGCATATCCCATCTCTGCCCTAGTGGGGTCTGAAGGCCAGGTCAAAAACCACAAGGCAGGACTGCCGGTATGACTAAGAGGAAAACGGAAACGGACGCCTGAGAATCCAGGGACCTGGGTCCTTGCTTTGAGCTTGCTGTGAGGCTGTGGGGAATTCACTTAGGCTCCCTATGTTTGCCTCACCTGAAAAATGAAACTTTGAATTCTTATCTTTGAAATAACCAAAGAAACTAGAAGTCTGAGAGCAGGCTGGGCTGCAGATGTGGGCACAGCTGTCATCTCACCTCTGATTCTGTCTTCTGAGATTTTTTATTTTGTGGTAGTGGGATTTGAACTCAGAACCTGGTGCTTCCTATGCAGATGCTCTACCATTTGAGTCATGTGTCTGGCCCTAAATTTAAGAGCAAAACTTACTATGGCTCTTGGTGTGCCAACCACCAGTGTATAAGGAACAGAAGCCCTTCCCCTGCTCCTAGTACACGAACTCTCTCCCTCTGCAGGATTCAAAGGCTCCTACATTTAAAATACTCAAATCCCCAAGATGACTGGCAATGCCTTGACACCCCCATTGCTCTTCATCTTTATTTCACTCTTATTCTCTGCACTGGCTCCTTCCTTAGCTCCTCTTATGTATCCTCCTGACACAGGACCTTTGCACATGCCGTTCCTTCTGTCTGGAGCACTCTTCACTGCTCACTGCCCCTGAAACTGCCATTTCCTCCTCAGATCCCAGCTATGTGCCACCTTTTCCAGTCTCCCCGACCTCCCCAACCCTACTCCCTGACTTCAGAGCACCGAGCCTCCCTCCTGGTTGGTGCACATGTCTCCCTGGAGGCTCTGCAGGACAATCACGTCAGCTTGGCACACCATTGCCTCTCCTGGGCCCAGCACAGCACCTCACGCTGAGAAGTGGTTGCTGCCACTGTTTGCCAGGCCCTGTCCTAGGCTCTTGATGGACACTAATCTATTTAATCACCACAATCGCCCCATGTAATAAGCATGATTGATACCCCCATTTTACAGATGAAAACATCAAGGTCCAGAGGGACTAAGTAGCTCGCTAGAGCAACATAGCCAGTAAGTGACA